AGCAGACTAATATGTAATAAGTACAGATCAGATACTCAGTAAATATATAATATACCAACACACACACACACACACACACACACACACACACACACACACACCATTTATACATAAAATATGTTTACTTATAAATATATCTTAAATATTTGTTACACAATGATTTCAGGTTTATTCAACTCTATTTCATTTTAACAAATAAATACAAACTACGAATCAATACATTCATTAAAAACAGTCTTCTTGGGCTTAAAAAAACTTAAATACATAATATACTCTATGATTTCCCTGATAGCCACTAAACCCGTTTTCTTTTTGGCACTAAGCTCCCAATTACAGCATTTAAAATTAAAACTTTAAATTGCTTTGGGTTTCCTGCTCAGTTGCAATTAATTTTGAAACTCATGTTTACAAGGACGTTTTTCTCAAATCTCTCAGATAGCAACTAAACATATAAACACTATTATCCAATGTTTGAAGTCATCTAAGACACTTTTTCTTTGTGAATACTGAATCCTTTTATGGGCAGATATCTTATTTAGAATATTGGGCTGAAGGGTGGAAACACAAAATTCATTTATTTTTCAGATTGTCCAGTGTGTTTGGGGAAGAATACTTAACGCTCTTTCTTTTAAAAGGTGATACTTCCAACCAGTGAAATATGTCTTTAAACACTGACTTGGGAAATAAGCAATGTCCTTATCTAAGGTGCTTGTAGGGGCCGGCCGAGTGGCTCAGTTGGTTAAGAGCTCGCTCAAGAGCTTGAGCTCTGAGCAACAGCAGTTCGAGTCCAGCCCGAGCTGAGCAGCCACTGAGCTGCCAACAGGTAGCAGGATGGTTCAGCTAAAAAAAAAAAAAAAAAAAAGGTGCTTGTATCGCGTGATTGCTGATAAACACAGTGCTGTTCCTGAAAGAGATTTTCAAAGTCAGCTACATGCATCCATAAAGAATCATTGCATGCAAAGGAACCTGAGGAACTATGACCAAAGGGAAAGGGAACTTCACCTTGGCTATCTCTACTGCAACACAGTGGCTTTCAGGAATCTTATAAACTTACCCCTGCTAGTAGGGCAGCACACACTTAAGGAAGGAAGTGTAGGACATGCAGGTAATGTGCTGGGGATCCTCAGAACCAAAGATGTTTCAGGCAGGCCTCATCTTTCCACAAGACACTACCAGAGCTGTTGCAGGAAATAAGGTACCTGTGAGGAGAAAGCCATCCCTGGGGGACCAGAATGGACAGTGGGGGCTTTGGGTTTGGGCCCCAAGGTGAACTGGGACTCTAATCTGGGATTTCATGATGGATCTTTTTTAAATGGAGAGAAGAGTCGCTATATACAAAATCCTAAAATTTGTGTCAGGAAAAGTGTAAATAAACTCGCCTGGCTAGAATGAAGGGTGATTGTAGTGCGGTAGAGAGAAGTAGGTAGGATAGGAAAAGTAGGTTGAAGCCAGAGCATGGGGGCCTGAAGGCCAACTTGAAAGCAAATAACAGGGAACTCCACCCTCCCCACCCCCTCCCTCTTCCTCTCCTTTCGGTTGGGCAAGGAACATGAGAAAATAGCATTTTAGGGGTGTACATAAAAAACTATAGTGGAATGAAGGTACATAAGTCATATTTTTCATGTTCCTTCTTTTTCTCATTTCCATTCTTGAATATTGGTGTCACCTCCTGTGATACATTGAGACCCCAAACTAAACCATCTTCAACTCTTCATTATAACTTCTACTCCCCAACCAGGCCCTTGTAATCTGATTTTCAGGCACTTTGCACAGTGCTTCAACACCTAGCATAGAGTAGTCTGTTAATACGGGCTTGTTAAATAAACATATGCCTGAGAGAATGGGTTATGTTTCGCACATCCTTCTCCTGTCCTTTTCCCTGGGCATACCCTGTTCTAGCCCTGCTATTTGGTCTTTGTGCTAGTTTCTCTCCCCTCCAAGCCATCTTTTCATGGGGCAGCAAGAGTTATTGTCCTCAAGCACAATAGCAATCATGTCACTACCTTGTGAAAAAGCAAAAACCAAAACACAAAAAGCCTGGAGATTCTTACAGAAAACACAAAGCACAGATTGCTTAACAGGACGAGGTTCTTTGGTATATGGCTTCAGCCTATCTTTTTAGTCTCACTTCTTAATTCCTCTCTCTGCTTCTCCTGCCACATCCAATCTGATTAGTGTCCTCCCTTATTGTCTGTAAGGTGTTCCCACTCTCGTGAAAGTTGAATAATTTTAAACATATAAACTGCTTATCATAGGCCCTAGTACATAGTAAGCTCTAAATAAACATAAGTGGTTGTTATTGTTATTATTATTAATGTTTCTAGGTGTTTTTCTTCCTGGTTTCCTAAGTACCCCCACTCTGGCCAATGACTTACCATATAATAATCTCTTTCTGATAAAATTCTACTTCTTCAATAAAACTCAGTTCCAATATTGTCCTCAGAGGCTAAGCAACCTTTCCCAATTGCCTAATCAGAATCTCTCTTCAGTCCACCAACCCATAGCTCTATCACAGGTAGCGCTAAAAACATTCTACTGGACAGTGGCAGGATGAAGAGAGATCCTCTCCACACACGCGCATTTTGGATGAGGCAAGATTTAAGGATTGTGAAGTGTCTACACTCATATGACGTAGAGGCCACTAGTTCAAACAGCCCTGAAGACCATTCTCAGATACTGTGCTCATCCTTGGAATGTGAGCAGGAAGGAACCAGGTGAGAATTAGAAGAACAATACCAGAAATGATTTCATAAGGAATAAGGCTGAAGATATCTTAAGAGGAAGGAAATGCTTTTCTCACTTGCAATGAACTTGTACTATCCTCAGAAAAAAACCAAATACTCGCCATGGTGAGGTGTGCTCATTCTTATGTAATTCATTAGGAAATTAGATGAATTCTGAGTTTTCCACCTCAATGAAATAATTGAACTGTTTCCCTCTCTCATCCATCAAGAGGTCTCAGCTCAACCACCAACCTTTTGGATCCAGCAAAGCTGAGATAGAGCCAACTGGTTTTTGATTCAAACGTGAAGTCTTCACTTTTATAAAAGAAATAAAGAATTTCTTTCTTGATGGGGAATGGAGGGAGGGGAGACACAAAACCACAAGAGGAAGGCTGAGAAAAGGAAAGAGTCAGAAACAGGATGTGTTCTAACCCCTGTGAGGCCCTGCTCCTGTGTGTAAGGGGATGAGTTAATCAGATGAGATCACAATTCCCAGCTCTGGCCTCCATGGCTTGTGGTATCTACTTAACCGTTCAGTTAAATAACTGCTCAAATCATGAATCACTTTCTGTCCGTTGTAAGGAAGGATGCAAGAAGTGGACAGTAGCCAGTCCCTGACCAATCTCTAGGGCTCTTGAAAGTTCAGGGTGAGGTAGCACCCACTGCCTATCCCATTGCAAATTTCTAAGTGGGGCCACATGCCGCACAGAAAGAACCATGAACCAACAGGCCTCCTGGGCTTCATTCCCTGGGGAGCTTCCCTGTTAAGGGCTGGGGACAAAGGACCACTGCAGCTAACAAATCTTATCTTTTTCATCTTCACATTGCCTACACCTGTGCACATCATGGATCTTGGGGTCTTCCTCTGAGTGCTCTTTGAGTTGCACTGACTTTCAGGAGACCCATGGGGAGATAAAGAGTAGTATCAAGGAGGGATTGGTGGCATTGGCGCTTGTGTTGCCCAGACCCTCAGGAAGTGTGCACATACCAGGAGACCATGCCACACCAATACGAATCAGCCACTGCTTATGAAAGCACAGCTTTGGGCCTTGCAGTGTGACCATGTCAGTTTTCCATGTCATCTTCTCACTCCAGGAGAAAAAGGAACCAGCTATGTGGGTTTCCTGTGGGATGGATTACAGTGTTCATTCCTTTGGAATTGCTTCAATTTTTTGACATGGGGGAAATGGGAAATTCACCTAGTGAAGCAGAAACTCGCATCTCCTGAAATTATCACGAAGGAGTCCTCAATCCCCTTAGAATTCACTTCCAGAATTTCCTTGTGTAGTGGCCAAGGGTGTGCTTAAAAATGAAACCAGCACAGGAAGTTCACTGAGGTCCCTTTTTTTTCTATCAGATTTCACATTCCTTGAAGACAGTATCCCTGTTTCTGCCAAAGCCCTCTAAGTCTGTGTGCTAAGGAAATGCTGGATCATTTGGTTGGTGTGGCTAAGATTTTCGAAGTTATTTGTCAATGTAGTCAGGTACTTGTTTATGTGATATGATTTCAAAAGCCACAGGGGGGGGGGGAAACAACAACAGGTCATTAAATAACTCTCTATTGAGTGAGTGAAAAACCCCTCAGCCCCAGGTTACCTTCCCCTTGATTTCAGCCACCGGACTTAAAATACAAACACATTCACTCCTTTCTTATTTGTTCAACATAAAATGTTTGTCTTGGAAAGTGGAAACTTCCCTAAATCGCATTAGCAAATAATTCCACTCAATGTAGTTAATAACCATTTATTTATCCCCTTCTATTTGCAAAGTACATATATGGTTTTAGAGATAAGAGCGCCCCTTATGAATCTAAAATCATGAGGTTGGGTGCTGGGTATCCCAGCTCAGCTGCTCACTAGCTGTGTGACTTCAGTCCAGTCAATGAACCTCTCTGTAAAATGACAATAATAACAACCCCCACTCACAACACTGCTGTGAGAATTAATTAAATAACATCATTACTTTGCACAGACCTTCACCCATGTCAGGACTTGATGACTAACACTATTATTACTGTCTTCATTATTCTGGGTTTTGCCTTTGGTCTTCTTACCGTAATGGCTGTTGAAAAAGCTTCCCTGAGATATTAGCAGTGATTAGCCCCCTGGATCAAATTACTTTAACTGAGTAGCTGCTTAGTCATCTATCTAGGCTGCATGGGACAAAGACAGAGAATTTTTAACACTGTGGTGTAAACTTGAGCGGAAAAAGCCCTGGAGAAGAAGCACACCACTAGATATTAGGAAGGTTCTGAGTGTTGGGACAAAGTGCACTCACCCAGAAAGACCTGGTGACCGCTGAGGAAAGACCTGCAAACTGCATCTTTCACTTAAGTCCAGCAAGAATCACTCTCAAACAGCACTGTCATCCATGGGCACCTCCTATCCTGCTCCACGGATATCTGCAGGTTTGGGGAGAAGTGGAGAGTGTTGTTGTATATCATTTCCGCCACTGTTTCCTTCTTTTCTCTCACTTAAAAAGGATTTTGCAGTCATAAAATTTGAGATCAAAACACATAAGCATTTAAGACATTGTTTTTCTTCAAGTCCTTGAACAAATATTAACTCATTCATCATCTCATTCCCCCTGAGAATTGGGAAACCAGAGCCCAAAGAGAGGTTGGAATGTTCTAATCCCATCTATAAATTATAGTGCTTGTGGGATTTATTCACTGAAGGGTTTAAGACATTAGGAAGCTTTTCTAAATGTGATTTCTCAATTGCTATCAGAGGACTTGCTCAGGATGCATTTGCAAAGAGAAGGAAAGTTTAATGCCACACTGCCATGATAATCAAACCAGCCATCTCACAGAGCAAAGGAGAAAGGCAGGTAGAAGGAGGGAGAGGAGGAAAGAAGGGAGAGACGACCAGGAGGAGAAGGGGAAGCCCCTTCTTACTCCAGATTTATGCTAAACAATTAGTTTACTACATTCTAAGAGAAAAAAAAAGTGTAGTTTTAAGGATATTTGTCAACCACAAACATGTTAAAGTAAAACATTCTAAAGTAAAACATTCCAAAGATTTTCATATGTATGTTCAAATGGCAGCAGGGTGCAACAAGTTGTGCAACTGAAAGTCATTTCAAAAAACAGCAATGAGAGGAATTGGTCAGTTAGAACACAAATAAAAAGTGGAAACTCAGAAGGTGGGCTAATCTCTGCGTATGACTGCTGGAGTGAGTCTGGGTTCAAAACATTTGATGAAAGATGTCTCATGCAATTATGGGAAAGGGATGTCAAACTCTGGGGGCATCACTTTGGGGCCCTATCTAGGAAGCTCCTGGCCAGCTTTTCTGCCCCAATGTGGCACCCCTTACTCTCTTTCCTCAGGACCTATGGACCTTGCATTCTTCGGCCTCACAGCTTTGCTTTATGATTTGTCCATTATCCTAGATAGCCTTGAAATGGGCCAGGTCTCCGATTTCCCCCTTCCTTCTCTTTCTTCTATATCCCTCACCCATCCTCAAACCGTTTTCCTTTTTAGGATTTTACTGATGACTACAGAGAAACAGGCTGGGAATAACAAATATGGGAAGTTATGCAGTTGACATAAACTTTGAAGTCACATAGTCATTGTCCTGAGTATGTAGAGAACTTTTTAATTACAGATTATCATGACGACTTCCTCCTCTGTTGGAAAACCAACAGAGCCCTTGCCCTCACTCTGTTCCTAAGGAAGAGTCCAAGGCTTGGAGTAATAAGAGAGTAGATAACAGGAAATTCCCCAAGATTAATGAGCATAATTTACATATCAAGAGAGCTCCAGAGAGATGACGCCCAACTCAGTGTGTCCCTTTGGCCACTGGAGAGGTCATCTAGGCTAGAGATGATAATGATGGTGATGATAATGATGATGATGATGATGACGACAATCTAATCTAAACAAATCCTTTCTATCCCATGTGAACTGTTCTACCTGACCTCAGGGGGGGATCAGCCATATTATTTTGTGCTGTTTCTCCAGCTGGGTAGATAAACACAAACTGGGGCTCCATGCCCCCTAATGGCTCACAATGATGGTGTTTTCCAAAGTCCATTGGATGGCCAGGAAGCAGGTCTCTCCACCATCATTTCTGATGAGCACCTCGCCACCTTCCCTGAACAGATGATCCATTATATTCTAGTAAAGTTTCAAACATTCAGGAAATTGTCCCAAAGACATCAAGGGTCATGGAAATATAACTTGATGAGTCATTTCCCACTGAAGACTATGCCATTAACTTCATCAGAGAAATCCATATTCCTTCTCTTAGCATGGCTTTGACCTTGTTTGAGGGAAATGACCATTTTCACCTTATTATACTGAGTCTGAATTGAACCCCTTTATGATTTGGGTTTCCTCACATTAATGAAAAAGAATGATGTAAGCTCAAACCACATCTCTGTAATTGAAAGGTTTCTCTGAATCCAGAGAGGTTAAGTCATTTGCTCAAAGTCACATAACTTTCCCAGGGTGAATCTGATTTGAAGCGAGATCCATTGGATTATGTTATCTCTGTCAGTGCCACCGTGGCAATGACAGCAGCATGGCACAGGCCACCATTTGCCATCTCACACCATGACAGGCATTTGAAGTTGATTGTGATGCTTCTCTATGGAACTAATCTGTGTTCACTGCAGCATCCTTTTCTAGTTCCCCAGCAGACACTACGGGTTGATCAGAGTGGTTTATAGGTTGTTATGTGGTTTGTCATTCCTGTCTCCAGCCACTCCTTGACCTGCTCACTTCAACATCAGTACCACTTCTCACCTCCCAATGGAGACACATCATCACAGGACAGTGGTCCCATGCATCTGAGGGAATGGCTTTCCTACCACGGTAGCTGAAGAAAGGCTTGCTTATGTCTTAGTAAAAGTGTTGGCTATTTCCCTCTCAGGTTTAACAACAGGAGGTTTCTACCAAAGAGAAAGAAGTGAAACTTGCAACAGGTCACCTGTTCCTGACAACCTTTAACTCCTAAAGTTGCCTACGCCCATGAGTGAACATGTGTGCACATGCACACAAACACACACACACACACACACACACACACACACACACACACACACACACTCCACCGACCCTCCTCCTGCTCACACTTTGCACATGACATTCAGAGAGTGGGAAAATTATAGCACCGGTGTTAAAGCCAACTCCATGCCCACAGTGTCATCACTTTTATAAGACCTCAGTGAGGGGTGTAAGAGTCAAGACCCATTAGTTCCCTTAGAAAGATTGAGGCTCAGACAGGTGGAGTGTTCAACAGTTCCTCTCTAAATCACTGACAGAGGCCATAGTTAGATGTAAGGCTCCCAGTATTGGGCTTGCTTGTTCTTGCATAAGATGCACTACCCTACATAGTCAAAAGAAGTCATTTATCTCCCCGTTTTCTCAGAAAATATTAAAATTTGACATTCTCACTTCTAATCCAGGGAAACATAAAAATCTGTTCTCTTATGAAATGGAAGCTATGAAACCAAAACAAATGCTAAAATGCCCAAGATTTTGCTCCTTAATAAAGTTCATGGATCACTGTAGCAAAATTAATCCCATAGAGTCCTAATTCCTATCTTTTAAAAGTTCATCACTATGTTGTTTATTTAACATTGACTTGACAACCAAGGAAATTTTTGAGTCTTTCTTAAATAAGTTTCCGAAGCATTTCCCTCTTATAAACAGGAAAGCAAGTCTGGCCTAGGCTAAGTACCCTGGGATACCAAACACTGGAATAAGCTTGCACATAGATGGCAAACAGGTCTTAGCTATGGCCAAGCTGACGATTCCACTTCGTGTTCCAGCTGCCATCCACACGACCTCACCTCTGTCCAGCCGCCCCCAGCTCCTCCGTGGTGGTGAGGACCGGGAAGAAGGCTGATCTCATGTGTCTACCAGGCACGTTACTCATCAACACCCTCATAATTCCCAGATGCGCTCATACTCTCTGGGAAATAACAAGAAGCTATGTCTCTTTGGAGCCAACACCCTAAAACTGCCAATGATACTGACCGATGCCTTGCATGGAGGCAAAGGGGCTCTTACAGAATTCCCTGTTGGTCTGAGGGGAGCAAATGGGCCCTTCCAACCAGACACTCAACCCATCTCACACCCAAGGCCTTTCTCAGCAGAGCCTGAGGAAAAAACGTCCCCTTGGCTGATTCGAGTGGAAGACCCTTCCCTTGTGAAAAAAAAAAAAAACAAAAAACAAGACACTTTTAAAGCCCTTGTTAATATGATATTAATCAAGATCTATATCAGACGAATGGGAAAAGAACTAGCTTAGGGTTGCCAAATTTATTTTAAAATGGAGACTCATGGCAGTTCTGGGGCAGACAGGGTTGCATTGGAAGGGAATTTGGCCTGTTGCAAATAACAGTTTTATGATGCCTTCCTATAGTCTAGACAAGCAGATGGACCAGTTCTAAAAAAAGTCTTTGTATTTATGTCTTGAGAGATATTTATCTACATCATAGGGTCTTTGGAACAAAGAGAACGGTTTCCTCTTTCTACAAAGTTTGGCGTCATTATTATTTTGATAGATAATCATGCTCGCCTGCTGCCAGATGACTGCTGAGTTATGTTTTCTATATATTTTTTAAAGCCTTTGCTTTTGAAAACAAGGTTGTGGGGGTCGGGTGCGGTGAAGGGGGATCCAGACCCTCTCACCCACTCCCTTCCTGGCTGTGAGAAAATGTGGGCCTGGGAATTGACACAGTTTGTTTTCTATAATTCCATCTAGTTTGAAACCAAGAAGAATACAGACCACAACACGAGAGGGAGAATGGTGGAGGACGGTGGGGGCATAAAAATCTGATAGGTCAGCATTTGGCTCCAGAGGAGCCGAAGGAGAGAGGATTCCACAGTGTTGTGTGTTTTCTCTTTCAAGTCTCGCTTTTGTTCCCTGCCATCAAGGAAATGCAGTAGACATTTGTCACCAGCAGCTCTTTGGAGACTTCGATGTTTTTTTCCTCCCAGGGTCCAAAGTGGGACTTCAGACACGAAAGAGTCGGATTTTGCAAAGCAGCAGAATTTTTGTGCAATGTTTATAAGACAGGCTAGAGGCTGTGAAGGCAGACTTTGGGAAATAGTTTAAACAGTTCATAAATCAGATGTAATTGAAAAGGATAGGGTCTCCTTTCTGAAAGCCCTGGTAACCTTTCTTGTATAATATCTTTACTGGGGCAAAATTGTAATGCGTGTAAGAATCAGGGGTCTAATGAAGTCAGGGTGCCTCAGGTCACTCAATGTAATTTGTTTTTTCTGGCCAAATCATGAAACAGAACTGCGTTCTGCTCCCTGTTAACATTTATATGATATGATCTCTTTTGATACTGTCAAGTGTGTTATGCCAGGCTGCATAACATTACTGATAACAAAGTGCTTTGGAGAAAAAAATTATTTTTCTTCTTTGCACACACCTAAAAAC